CCTATAGTATATTGTATACTATAGCGGTATACTGTTAGGTAACTGTGTTCTTCTTCGATTATTACAATATACCGTTGCAGTATATTGTAAACTATAACAGCATACTGTTGCAGTATAGTTATATACTCCTACAGCATATTGTATACCGTAACAGTATACTATTGGGTAATTGTGTTCTTCTTCGATTTTCAGCTGAAAATTTCGATCTCAATCACCTCAAATCAACTCCAAATGCTATCAAATTTCAGTATGAACTTCCAGAAGGTATTATAAGCAATATTTAACAGCACCCACTTTGAATCAAACAAGAATCTTCAAAATAAAAATTTTAAATTCAAGAGCTTCAAAACAAATCTCAATACATGTTCTCCTTCCATTTAGTATAAGATTTTTTTTTTAAATTAAACTGATTTTGCATTAGCAGACATGTAGGTCATTGAGGAGAAGAGGTTGTCTGGAGGTTGTGTTTGCCTCTGCTGTACTTGTAGAAGATTTCAACATACAAGGAAAGATAATTTTGACATAAGCAGTTAAATTGTTGGACATAGGCAACGTCAATGGGAACAAATGTTGGATGATTACATAGTTTTCCATGTTAGTAGGGTTCCTCTTTCACTATAGGAAGCTACTGGATTTATACCCTTTCTTGACGAGAAATTCAGTAGTTAATATGTAGTTAACCAAATATACCCGGCCTTTCCAAAAGAAAATTCCCGCGATCTTTACTAGTATTCAATTTCGGATCTGACAAATATGGTCTAATTCACTCATTTGCAACAGTTTTCCTTCAAAAGATTTTTTTCTCTTCAACATACAGACAAAATCTACAAATCACTACCATGGCTTCCGAGAAAGAAACCCTAGAAAAGAAGAAACAAGAAAAAGAAACAAACGAGCAAGAAGAAAAGGTTAAACAGAAAAGTGAAGAAATAAAAACTGATGATGATAAGGATGAAATAGGAGAAGACAGAGAGGGTGGGGAAATGGAAGTAGACAAACAAGAGGAAGAGGAAGAATCTGGGGAGGAAGAGGAAAAGGAAAAAGTTGTGAAGAAGGGAAAAGATAGAGGTGCAGTGAAAGAGGAGGAATGGAAAAGGAATAATACGGATTTGGCCACAACACCAGGTTCAAGGCCATCGGTGGAGACATACACAAAACAGTTACAGTGAAAATAACCGGGTAAATAGTTTGGGCCCCATGGTAGGAGTAGTAAATAGTTTGGACCTGGGCGTTAAAGGGTAAATAGTTTTGAATTAATGGGTATAAAGTGAGATTTTTTAACATTGAACCCATTATATTTTTAAAGTTATGGGTTCATATTTATTATTTTTGCAATTTTAATGAATTTTTACTCCGCGTCGAAAGTTATAAGTTCAGTTGAACCCGTAGTTAATACACTGCATCCGCCTCTGGGGGCGGCTCAACATTGTTGGTGCCATATATGTTTAATTTAAGTCTATTTTTCTTACTTTTTGAGACACAAAGTTATTACTAGTATTTTTTTTTTGAATCAAGTTATTCTAATAATTCTTTTTCGCTTAATAATATAGCTAATCCATTTTAATGTCTCTTAGATATTATTGATCCTAGGTAAGGTTGTATTACATTAAAATTTAATAAACTTCTTCCCGCAAATGCAACTGTTAAAGGAACATTATTCGGTAAGGAATATAGGTGTTTGAAAAAGAATCAAGTCTTACCTTTTCAAGTCTTCTTAGTTGATTGAGTATATCGATTAGGGCATTATTGTTACTTATAGTATTTCCTTTAATGCTTTTAATTTGAAAAATAAGTCTAAACTATCCATCAAAGTAACTTTTCTCAGATTCTTATCACCTAGCGATCTCAAAATTTCCCACTAAATAAAATTATACATACTTTTCACGCTTTAGATTATTCAAATATGTATGGTCGACATCAGTGACAAATCAAAGTTTTCTTTCTTTTTCTATTAAAAAAATTATAATTCTTTACTTTAAAATATTCAATTTTTAAAAAAAATATTAATTCTTAAAATTACTAGTTGTAAAAAGTAGGGCTCCCTAAACTTTGGGGGCCTAAAACAATTGCTTGGATGCCTTACCCTTGAGCCAGCATTGGGAAAAACAAGGGGGGGGGGGGGGGAGTTGCATCTATACCCGTTTTTGGGTCACGTTTCAACCTGTGCCCGCTTTGCAAAAAAAAATGCAAGCTACCCATTTTTCGGTGAACTTCAGCATACAAGGCTGAAATAGCAAAGGCAATCACGCAAAACTTCAGCATTCTAGTAGACATGCCTGAAGTAGCAAAATTACTGATCCAAGTGTTGAAGTTTTTTGTTTGTAATGCTGAACTTAAGCATTCTAGTGCTGAAGTTTTATTTGTAATTGTTGAACTTAAGCATTCTAGTAGCTGAGTTTTGTGATACTGAAGTTATTTAGTTCATTTGTTTAAAAACTTCAGCACTAAATACGCTGAAGTTTTTTTTCCTGGATAAGCCTTTTTCAAAAACTTCAGCAGAGATGCTGAAATTATTTAGTTCATTTGTAAAAACTTCAGCACTAAACACGCTGAAGTTTTTTTGTCCTGGATAAGCTTTTTCAAAAACTTCAGCAGAAGATGCTGAAGTTATTTAGTTCATTTGTAAAAACTTCAGCACTAATTAAGCTGAAGTTTTTTTTGTCCTGGATAAGCTTTTTCAAAAACTTCACCAGAAGATGCTGAAGTTATTTAGTTCATTTGTAAAAACTTCAGCAATATATAAGCTAAAGTTTTTTAAAAAGCTTATATAGTTTTTTGACCCATACAATCACTATATTGGATCTTTGTTTTTTTCTTCTTTCTGAATGTTTTTATGGAGCAGATCAGTAATTACATTAGAAAAAGGTGCCTTCAATGGAAATAAATCAAATAATCATAAAGCTTAAGTGATATAAAGTGAAACTATTACTTTAACACAGATCAATTCATTTGATTCAAAGAAAAAAAGATTACATCAAAAATGCAAAAAAAAAAAAAAAAAAAAAAAAAAAGTAGAAATCGTGCAGCTTATGTTAGTTGATTCATTGTTATTGATAAGTCGTAATCAATTTATTGGGACTTAAATTTAGTTGTCCCAACTCCCAATGAAGACAAGATGCTAATCTGTGTTATGGTACAGAAAATATATTAAGAAAACGAAGGAGGAGAAGGAGGAGGAGAAAGGGGGCTGAAATTGTTTAAAAAGTGGGTACAAGTTAAAACTTTAAAAAAAAATGGGTATAGGTTAAATGGGGGCGACCAAATAGGGCGCCCTATGCAACTTTTACAAAAACAAGCAACTGATTTAGCATGCGAATAAACAAGATTTCCCGAAAACAAAGTACTTTGTGGCTAGCTTTACAATTCAGATACTCTAATTATGAAACAAAGCAGCAAATGGAAATGAGATGAATGTAAAAATTAGGCAGCAACGTTCTTAGAATCTAGGATTGAACTCGAAGGTGAGAATGCTAGATTGCATATCGGGTTGAGTAGAGTAAGATCTTGAACCTAAGTATTGGGAGCGGATCCGCGGTTATGATAGACTTATACCCAATCGCCTTGTTTGGTTACCATACAGGAATTATTAATGTGTTCTTGTTAATTCTAATTTCATAGAAATATAGGCGTTAGGTTAGCTTGAATAGGCGAGTAGTACTTCGGTCGAATGCTACGAGTAATATTATCCCTGTGAATCAATAAACCGGTTAAATTAATTAGATAATTTAAGTGGAAGACCCAACAGGATTGTTAGCTGACTCATAGCTCTAGAATATTTTCTCTCATTGAATTCTTATCTAAGTTTGCCGAGTTGTTTTCTTTCAATGTCTTAGTTTACTACTCTAGATTAGTTTTAATTAAACAATAGCACTTTGAAAATCACTTGAATAGATTAATTATTTTGCTTAATTTAGTTGATAGTTAATCACAAGTCCTCGTGGAAACGATACTCTACTCACTTGTTATTACTTGTCGACCACGCATACTTGCGTGTGCATTTTGGAGCAACATCTTAATTCCTCATTTGCTTATTTATACTCTTCACTTTTGTAAATCTTTTCCCTAAATCTGGAAAAATTCTTCAATATGAAATTTCATCGTCACTTTATGGATAGCAAACGCAAGTACAAGGAGTACCATGGACAATATCTCAAGATAGATGGTAGTAGAACGAACAAGTTTTTGCTCAAAGATGGAGTTCACACTCCAAAAGGACTTGCTATAGGGGGTCAGGGCTATGAATTTCCGTCCATTGGGACTCATGAAGTTATTTTCCAATTAATAAGTGTGATTATTGCTTGTTTATTATACATACATTTCTTTGGTTTTGTCATTTAATAGACTATCAAAGAAGTGTAGATTAGTTCCCATACTTCTCCATATATATACATCCTAAACTTATCTATACCATCTGTGCTTAGTCATGTTCTGAGTTTCCGTTTCTTAATGTATAATTTATTGCATAGGAGTATTATCTAATTTTCCAGAACCCAAGCACTGAGTTGTGTTTCAATAACAATCATCATTTGGTTTCTATTAAATGTGCCTCGCTTCTATCGTTAATTTAAACATGACAATGATAAGTAGCAGCTATTAAACAAGAACCAGACATTATAATGAAGATCATACTGCAGAGACTTTGCTGGTAATTAAGAAGCTAGCAATAGGCCTCTGCTTCTGGAAATCAATCTCTTTCTTGAGGAGAACTTGGAAGAACCTGCATTCTGCTTCAATTCTTTATTTATAATAATAGCCTGATTCTTTTGTGCTCATGATTGACGATTAAAAAGAAAAAACAACATTTCTCCTGGTCCTAAAAAATATATATTTGAAGTACATTATCCAGACACTTATCGAACATGTGTATTTGTTCTTATTTTGAAGACCTCAAATAACTTCAAAGCCATGTTAAATTTCCTATTATTATTCGTTTTGTTCTCTTTATAAGAAGTCCCATGGGTACAGATCATACTGTAACTGCGGTAAATCAAGCTGGGAAATTAAGGAGAATCAAACATTATTATTAGATAAAACCAAAGAAGGTAGCAAGTCATGACATTATCGCACTGACACAGCTTCCCCCTCTTCTTCAAATCGGAAACATAAAACACCTTAATAATACTCAAAGCTAAGTAACTGATTCTTCCCCCGTTTCTGAATTAAAAAAAAAATTCAAAAAAAAAGGTAGCTGGCAGCCTATAGGTTAAACAAAGATGTCCGCGATGTGAGATGCGTGGTTTTAATTGTTCATGCCAGTAGCATTTTTAACTGCATCTGCTGCCCCTTGTGCTGTGGCCTTCATTTGTTGTCCCGCCTATAAGTAACATCAAAGCACACAGATTACACGATGTCTATGTATATAAGTTAAACTCTGAATGAGTCAATCACCACATTAGAGAGACGTGAGAGTTCAACTTGATTTAATGTGTAAAACAACAGATTAATTAACCTCTTGCATTGTTTCCTTGGCAGACTGTGCAGCGTTGCCAGCTTTTTCCATCATCTGATTACCCTTTTCCTGATACATGCATATGTAACAATTTTACACCTACATTAGAAGTTGCAACGGAAAAGCAAAGAGTGAAATTTATATATACCAACAGTGTTAAATTCTGACCTGAGCTTGGCCCTTAGCCTGGCCAGCTTGGTAACCCATGCTCTGAGAATTATCCATCTATGATTTGCTTTTGAAATAGAGAACAAATTAAACGGAAACTTTTAAGTAGTTTGTAATTTATTGGAGCTGAGTGGATATTTTGTTGCTTTAGACATTGTATGTATTTATAGCTCGCGAAACCCATCAGGTGCTTGACACCTGTAAATCTGTATTATAGGTTGAAATTAAGCTGGGCCAAATTTGATTCTGATGCAGCGGCCCTCAAGACTAGGAGGAAGTTGGAAAACATTGGTTGTTTCTTTGTCTATGTGAGAGAGTGAGAGACCGGAGTAGTTATTCCTTCAGATTCGGCTTGAATTTTTGACTTGTTTTGTAACTTATCATTTTTAGCAATCCTAAGATTAGGGTCAAGGTTGGTTAGGATCAACTGATCAACTTATCATTTGGGGTCGTTTGGTTGTGTATCGGAGCAATTGGATGGGTCGAAATCTGACCACCAGATGGTTATCATTAAAGGAGACGGTAAGAGGTCGACCCCGCCATGGTCGCGCCCACAAGGAAAAATGGCGACGGGTACCACGGTCCTGCCGGGGTCAAGCCGTTAGAAAGCTTATATCGCAGAACAAGTGTAATGTCTTGGGCAAGTAATGAAGGACTCAGTTATGAGAAAGTACGCCGATCAAAGACCGTTGGATAAAAGAAAAAATTGTTAGTATATATAGGGAGGCAGGAGACCATTATAAGGGGACAAGATCTGGCTATTACATGGAGGGGCAAGATTACGGAACCAACAAAGGGGAGATCTCTTAGCGATTAACAGTTTTCTCTATTCTCCTTCTATGCTTTTTCGATTAAGGCGTAAACCCGCCATAGATGTAAGCTTGTCATTTTTACATGATATATGATAATCAACTTAAGAAATATTAAATCAGTTTGTTCTTTCTCCAATTTTTGTACTCAATATGTTCAGATCTAGAGTTAATTATGTTTGGCTAAGATTTACTTTCTATATCTCTGTTAATTAGTTTAACAAAAAGGGTTTAGCACTTTTTTTGCTCAAACAATTTGGCGCCCTCTGTGCGGATTTCTTAGCCAAATTTTTTAGTTTCCTCCAGATCTAGAACCAACGAAATATCACTACCAGGCTGCCGTGGCCTCACCTTCTCGGCACTACCACCAACTCGAAAGAGCGGTAGGTAAGCCTTTGAGACGACCGCACCAATCCAGGTCAGGTTGGTACATAAAATAGAAGTTATAGCCAATGTCTATGCAAAACCCACGTCTCACATGTAACGATGGGTTTGGCACGACATATGCACGTCTAAAATAGGATCACGGTTGCATGGCTTGACAACAGCCCCATTTGACGTATCTACCTTATATATCGACCAGCATTTCCACCCCTTGGGAAGGGACGACAGCCTGCTGTGTGGTCTTTTGGAAGAGCGGTCACATCCTACCCTATTTTCACATTCCCCCACACACTGTAGGGTTTACGAACGAAGTGTGACATGTTTCCCTTGTTGTTTGTGCAAATCGGACGAGATCGGACCGGGACTCGATTTCAGCACTTCAGCGAGTGAGGTGGGCCCAAACCGTGAGAAGCCTAGGCGTTGTTAACGCGAAGCCAAACACGGCCCCCAAATCTGAAACCACCATTCGAGCACCAGGCGGAGTGAGTAACCCTACAACGTCACTCCTTCTTTCACTGGCTTGTTGGGTCGAGGTAACAGAAAATTTCATTTTGGTTTATCTTCACTCTTTTCTTGGTTCAAACAGGAATGGGAGCACTCACACGGGTAAGCGAGCAAGGGACCACCGCCTCCAAAACACCCCCGAGATGGTTCCGTAGCATACCGCCCCGCAAGTAACGACCGAGCAAAACCCCCCAAACCGCAGCATATCACGAATAATAGAAATGGCTCGGTACAGAACAACTAAAAAAACACAAATAACTCTCCAATGGAAGTGAAGTTAAGCAAACTGGGACTCACCCAGAGAGTGCACAATAACTCTCCGATGGAAGCGAAGTTAAGCAAACCGGGACTCACCCAGAAAGTGCACAATAACTCTCCAATGGAAGCGAAGTCAAGCAAACTAGGACTCACTTAGAAAGCACACAGTATCCTCCAATGAAAGCAAAATTAAGCAAATCGGGACTCACCCAGGGAACGCCCGGTATTCTCCAGTAAAAACAAAGCCGAGCACACAGGGGCTTACCCCGCCGCACGCACAAATAGTACGACGACGCGTAAAGTTCAAAAAAATATACATAACAATGACACAACGGGTTAACATTTTGACATTTGCTCGAAATAACACCCTACGGCCAATGGCCATCGCCAAAGGAAGAATTCGACTTCGCTCGAATTATAACGGGTTAACATTTTGACATTTGATCGAAATAACACACCTATGGCCAACGACCATTGCCAAAAGAAGAATTCAACTTTGCTCGAATTATAACGGGTTAACATTTCGACATTTGCTCGAAATAACACCCCTACGGCCAACAGTCATCGCCAAAAGAAGAATTCTACTTCGCTCGAATTATAACGGGTTAACGTTTCGACATTTGCTCGAAATAACACCCCTACGGACAACGGCCATTGCCAAAAGAAGAATTCGACTTCGCTCGAATTATAACGGGTTAACATTTTGACATTTGCCAGAAATAACACCCCTACGGCCAATGGCCATCGCCAAAAGAAGAATTCAACTTCGCTCGAACTATAACGGTTTAACATTTCGACATTTGCTCAATAACACCCCTACGGCCAACGGCCAACACCAAAAGAAAAATTCAACCTCACTCGAATTGCAGCGGGTTACTATTTCGGTCTTGCTCGGAATAACACCCTTACGGCCACTGGCCGTCGCCGAATCAAATAGTTTACAATTCGATCTTGCTCGAATCAACACCTTTACAGCCATTGGCCATCGTCAAAACAAGTAGGTTACAATTCGACCTCGCTCGAAACAACCCATTCACGGTTGCCGGCCACAGTCAAATAAAAGGAAAAGTTTGAAATCCTTCAAATATAAGCCAGAGGTCGACTTCGCCCAAAACGGAGACTCCAAATTCGAACCTGTTCAAATAAAGTCAGAAATGGACCACACTTCAGACGACGATTCCAAGTTCGACCACGCTCGAGTACACATGAAAAAGTTGACTTCGCCTAAGTCGACAAGTCTGAACTTAATCCCACTCGAATGTTCAAGTCGAAACTGACTTCGTCCAAAAAGGCGGACTCGAATTCAACCTCGTTTGAATCAAGGATGATACTGCTAAAAGCGACAAATCGAAAGCCAACCTCGCCCCAATATGCAGATCCGAAGCGACTTCATTCGGACTCACGCGATGAGACCCTACTCGATCCGGTCAAGGTCGAACTCCCAGATAAAAAAATCAAGGACTCATAAAACAAAATCCGAAGGTCTATGCCAAAACAAAAAGATATACAAAGGCGAAGCAACTATTTTATTTACATATACGCGCAACAGCCGCACCTTACAAAAGGCCGAAACAGGCCCTAAAAAAAAGAGGACGAAAAATGAACAAAAAAAATTTATTATAAAAGCCGCAGCAACTTTTCACTCGGCGTCATCACCGCCTTCCTCCTCATCGTCGTCTTCAGGAAACCCGTGCTCAGCATCAGCATGTTCGCCAGCCTCCGGTGTCGCAGGGTCATAGCCGCAATTGACACGAGCCTCGTGCGCCTTAGCCCGAGCTTCTTCAAAGGCGGCCTCAAAAACATTTCCCGCCTCCCACAAACCCTTGTGTATGTCTCGTTAGGCCTCGACATGGACCCAAAGCTCATGCAAGTGACGAGGAACGGTGGCAGAGGCGGATTCAACTTGAGCCAACAACTACGCCCTCTCAGCCTCGAGCTCCACGACCCGGTCCCCTAGGCTCGAAGCCTCCTGATCGATCTCGCCAATGCGCTCCTCGAGCCGCGCCTTCCTCAGCGTGGCCGTTGCCCTCTCGGATTCCTGCTTAGATTGGAGGACGCGGATAGTGTCCTCTAACGCCGCCGCTCTTGCAAAAGCCGACGCCTGAGCGTTCTCGATATTCTCTAACTCAGCCATTTTTCTCTCCAGCTCGGCTAACTTCCCCGTCCACTCTGCACTGAAAGCTTCGACTCTGGCAGCATTCTGATCAAGTTTGACTTGCAATGACAGCACCTTCGCCTGAAGATGCTCACACTCTGCAGCGACCCCTTTTCCCAACTCAAGTTCTTCGTCCTTGGCACGAAGCAGCTCCTCGAGCTCACTACACCTGCGAATGGACTACATCAGCTCCTGATCCCTTTTCTCCAACTTCTCTCCGAGGGATTGGGTGCCAGTACCCGCCCTGAGCCGCTCATGCATCTCGCGGCATCTATTGTGATACCGCAGATACTTTTCAAGCATCGTCATAAAAATCTTAGACTGAGTCTCGGCCCTTCGAGCACTCTCGATCTCCAGCATGTAAGACTGAAAACAAAGAAAAGAAAATTGTCGATAAGGGCCAAGATAAAAAAAACAAACAAAGAGAAACATACAAAGAGGAACTTACCCTTAGGCCCATCGCGGCCACTCCACGTAACAGTTCGGCATTGCTGACGTCCTGAAGAGCCCCGCTTTCTGCGGCCGAGCATAGAAGATTAAACTGCGGCACAAAATCCACCATGTCTTGCAAAAGGTTGAGGCCCGACGGAATCTCGAGTATCCGAGAAGGACCTCCTGCTCTTACCACAGTTCGGGTAAAGCCCTCCTTGAACATTCTAACATCATCAGGATCGAGGTCGGATTCAGACTCGTAATCATCGACCATGACGCCTTTTCCCCTCTCTTCGATCGATGAAGAAGTACGGTTTGACCGGGATGTCGAAGGGTCGCCCGAGACAGTAATGGCAGCCTCGGGACCCAGTCTCTCTACCACATCGGCCTGTTGATCTCTCATTACTGGCGTAGTCTCTTCGATCGGGTAGATATCACCGCCAACTTCGGGCGTCATCAAGGAAAGGCCGCCCTCCAACGATGTTTCGGTTTGAGGTGCCACTTCCAGGGACACCCTTCGTCTCTTCGATAGGGCCTCTCCACTACTAGTATGGGAAGACTCGCCCGTTGAGCGGACGGTAGG